GAAAGAAATGAGTGCCACTAGAAAGCATGAAACACACCCAAAAGAAAGAAGTGTTCTGAAACTAGCATTTTTCTTTTATTTCTAGATAGAGATGGGGGTGAAAACAATAGAGATGGGGGTGAAAACAAAAGCCAATATATTTTTAAAAAGGTATGGTCATGCTAACCTTGCTTTTGGTTAAAAACTGGGCAGTAAAAGAATATGTCAGGTGTTTATTGGATGTTCTTTACTTCAGTTAGAAAATAACAATACATCTAAAAAGAAAATTGGTTTGTCCTCAAAAAACAAAATAAAAACCAAAAAAGCAGAAATGAAATGGTTAGGTGGTTGCAGGGACAGGGGCAGGGGCATCTGTCTTGTCTAGGCCTATGCTGAGCAGTCCACAGAGGGAGCATGGGGAGAGCTTGACATGGTCTGAAGAGATACTCTTCAGTATAACTCACAAAATTATGCCTGTGTGTTCAAATGGGCAGAGGGCTGGAAGTAAGCAGGCCAATTCCTTTTAAAAGGACTTAAATCTTCCTTTTGTGCTTAGGGACAAGGATGAAAAGATGAAAATACAACTAGTTTTGACACTAGACAACTTGGACTGCGACTATGCACTGGTGTCACTGAGTTGGGGTCTTATCCACAGTCAGGGAGGACTGTCATGCTGTGTAGGCAGCCCTGGCCTGGAGGAAGCTCAGGCCCCGTGTTCTCAAACATACATTTCCAAGAATGCTTGGGGAGGCTCCTCATGCACGAGGTGGTGTCCATTCTTGGTGTGGTCACTATGGGCTGCAGCCCTCATCCCAGTGAAGCTGTGGGCCTCCTGAGCAGGACCTCTGGACTCCTATAGCTCCTGGAATTGCTTCCAGGCCTTTATTTCTGGTGGACATGCAGGGGTTGAGAACAGCAAACCAAGAGAAAAGATCCTTGTCAGAAACAGGCACCTTTGAGTCCCTGGTCCTTCTAGGTCAGCTTTTTTATTCGCCGATTGTGCTTGTCGGTGGTCAAGGTTGCCCGGTCCACAGCCGTGGTTATACCATCCAAGGCCTCATCCTGCCTCTGTAGTTCTGTCTCAGCATCCAAGGCCAGCCCCTTCAGTTTTCTCAGAATCTGGGAGAGAAGCAAAAAATGATAGTGGATGTGACTTTGCTGCAAACTCAAAAATGTCTTTTCCCCATCATTTTTATAATTCCTAAGAAACCATCTTTGACAATTTGGATAGTATTTTGTGAGTCAATGGGGATGGAGCACAGAGAGCCAGGCCTGCAGTGCTCACAGTGAGGTCCAGCCTTGGCCCTGCCACTTCCTGGCTGGGTGACCCTGTGAGTTGAGGTATCTATCTGTCTGCCCTTTGCATCTGACCTAGTCCCAGTCAGGGAGGTCTGACCATGCAGTCTCAAGACATACCTGTCCATCAGTCCCCAGCACACAGTGACTATGCCCTGGGGGCCCCTGCTGTTTCCAACCTACCAGCTGCTCTGTTTAACTAACACCGGCAGCCTTGCTGGGGATGTTACCACATCGATATGGAATTCCTGCACACAGCAGTGGAGCAGCCAAAAGAGGTAGCACCAGGGACCTGGGGCAGACAGCTCAGATCTGAGTTCCAGCCCTTGCCTAGTCACGGCTGTCATTACCTGTCTGTACTCAGGTACCTAACTGCAGGCTAAAGCAGGAAAAACAAGATTTAAAAAGAGTGTAACACCCTTCTCTTGTCTATAAGTGTGAAATGTTTCACACACAAATATAAAAGGCAGAACAAAACAAACACAAATAACCCAAAGTGATGGAGGAATTGCATAACAAAAACCTGTTGCAAAAGTGCTAGGATACTGCATCTGGACACGGTGAACATGGGGCTTTGGGCCATACCACCCTCAGGAGCCCACTACTGGGCAGGAGGTGCAGAAAGCATAAAGGGTGTCCAGGGACTGGTGGGGTATGGGCTGCCCACAGGAATGTCACAGAGTGACAGAACAGTCAGAACAGTGTTGCCCAATTTGGTACAGCAGGTACTGTGGGGAAGACAGTTCCCTGTGGGGGTGGAGGCTATGGGGCAGGCCAGACCGAGGGAGCCAAGGGGGCTTCCTGCAGCCCCTTACTCTGCGGTGTCCATGACTCATGTCCTACCTCATAGTTTTACATTTTATTACAATTCCATGGAGACTAATCACATTGTGTTACTTTAACTACATACTTACTATGCCAGCATTTAAAAGCTTAATACAGGTTGAGGACCTCTTATCCAAATGGCTTAGGACCAAGTATTTCAGATTTTGGATTTTTTCACAGTTTGAATATTTACATATACATAATGAGATGGGAATGGGACCCAAGTCTAAACACAAAATTCATTTCTGTTTCATATATATCTTATACCCATAGTCTAAAGGTCATTTTATACAATATTTTTGTATTGCAGTGTTATGACTGACCAGTCACACGAGGTCAGGTGTGGAATTTTCTACTTGTGGTGTCATGTCAGCACTTAAAAAGTTCTGGATTTGGGGGCATCTAAGATTTTGAATATTTAAATTAGGGATGTTCAACCTGTAAGTTCAAGCTGACAACAGAAAGAAAATCAATGTAAAAGAAATATTAATAACCAAGTTCTTGCAATAAATGCTAACATCCTCTTTTAGGGGATGTTTCAGATCTTTGGTTAGGTCAAGGAAAAAGTAACCTGAGAAAGAAAACAGAACAGGACTCCTCAGGAGGAACCCTCAGCACCATGCTCACTCATGGACTGAGCCATTAGTAAATCCATTCAACCTCCCCCTGCTGCGTGGTGGCAAGTATGCCATCAGCGGTGACCAGACTGGTGGCGATTTCAGAGGGCCCATAAAGCTCATCTAGTAATAAAGCATAATGCCCCACTTAAGAGAGCAACTCCTGCCAGGTTCCATCCAATGACAATGACACAGGCAAGAAAGCTCTACATCCTGTAGGGCGCTGGGCTAGCTCTGAGCAGCAGCAGCTTCTCACTTAGCACACCTCCAGCTCTCAAGGTAGAGTGAACTGCCTTGCACCGGCACTCTAGGAGGCAGAGCAGCAACCCTGCAGTCAAATGCAAGGAGGTCAGGGTTTAGAATCAGGAGGAACTCATGTACGCCTCCCCCACCAAGATCTTGACAATATACTCTGATCAATAAGAAACAGAAAAAAGGCAGGAGGTGGCTAGGATGGAGAGCAAGAGGACATAGATCTAACTCATTGTAAGGGAATGGCGAGATTCACATGAGATCACAAATGTGAACAAGCTGTAAAAACTTAAGGGCTCTGCCAGGGTGGTCACCCCCTTGACTCAGAAGAGTCCTGGTCCCCCTCCCTGTAGATGGGGACATGGAGGTGAGGAGCATTGAGGTCATTCAAGGGCACATGACAAGTCAGAGACAGAGGTGAGACAGTCATGTCTCTTTCCAAACACAGCATTCTTGCTGTGATCTTTGTCATGAGACAGATGAATAAATTCCTGATTCAAGTCAGCAGTCTCAGACAACAGCCTTTTTGCCCCCTGTGGGATCTGGTGGAAACTCCATCAGTTGAGTCATGACTTAGAAAGCTGGACAGGGCTCTGGAAAGTATATGGTAGGGTCAGCCACTCTGGAGGGGGACAGCCGGATGACCTAATACAGTAGGTCTTTTCCATCTCTCATTCCTATGAGCTCATATGGCTAATGCCCAAGCAGCATAATAAAAAGAAAAAAAAAATTACAGCTCACCACCATGGTAAGCAGGTTCCTTGGAGCCATTTTCTCTGGTCAACTACTCCTTTCTCATTTACCCCCACTTTTAGTATAATCATAAGCTCATTCCACCAGGAATTTGAACTTAACAGCCATGGAAGAGATGGCCTTTGCCACACACTTGCACTTTACCTGATGTCCCACGAAGGGACTTCCCAGAGTCGAGCCAAATAGATTACCTTGCAGCACTTCTCTGCAGTCACTTTGTAAAGTGATTGAAGTTTGTTTTAAATTGAATTATTTTTCAGACCACCAAGCTCCATGTAAGCTGATGGCTGAAAGAGGGACTTTGGTTATATAGCCATGCTGGAAATGCAAGACCCTGTCAGAACACAACACAGATGCCTCAAATCAGACCAGGTATGAAGCATGCAACCTTGACATCCACTTGTTCCTCTAGTAGAGACCTCTCTTTGTCATGTTTTTGTTGGGCTAATAGTAGTGCGTGTAGACAGTGGTGCAGCAGTAACAGAACTGCACTCACGTACAGTTCACATACTGGGTTCATGTCCTGCGGCCTTCCTGTGCACACCAGGTATGAGCATGCAAAAGTTCATGAGGCTGGGGATGGACTGTAGCATGAGGACCTTGTTAAAGGTATTTGTCTGATTCTCTCTCCAATGGGAGAAATAAATAAACTTTTTTTTTTTAAGTAGAAAATTAGGAAACAGGAAAAGTTAAAGAGGAAAGTACTTTTTTTTTTTAACTAACTTTACATCCATGTATTCTCATAAAAAACAAACAAACAAACAAATAAACAAAACTCCACAATTTGGGACTGAAGTATATATACAGTTTTGTTTTCTGTTTAGTTTACCTCCTGGGTTTCTTAAGTAATAGTTAATAGTTATGGGACTCATGCAATATATATGCTGGCATTATTCAAAGAACTTTATACATTTTTTCACAGTTAGTCCTCAAACTGGGTTTTACAAATGAGGCCCCAAAAGGCCGAGCAACTTGCCTTAACTCCTGGGGTTCAGCCTGACCTAAGCCAAGCCAGTGCATGGCAGAGACTGCTCTGAGCACTACTGTGACATAACTGTCATACTTACAACAGATGCTATGGTTTGATGACTCAAGTCACATCCCCAGGACATTGCGAAAAATTGCACATCCCTGAAAAAAATGGCAAAAGGAACCATACCAAGGATTGGCATAGGGTACTGACACATTCAAGGAGGCTAGGCTCCAGGGCTTGTGCTCTCTCTCATAGCCCTGAATGTCTACAGCAGAATGTCTACTAAAAGGCAAGCTCAATAAGTAATTAAAAATGTTCTACTACCCATGTGTTAGTAAGTAAAAATTAACAGGTGAGATTACTTTTACATATTTTACTTAATCTAATATAGTCAGAATACTATCATTTAACATGTAATCAATATAAACAATTATTAATCTTATATTCCTTTTCATACCAACTTTTGGCAAGCCAGTTTGAACGTTATGCTTATGGCACATACTAACTTGGACCAGCCACCATTCAAGAGACCAATAGCCACATATGAATGGGACCACGGCTTCGCACAACAGCCCATTCATCAAGGTCATCTCCATGACAGATTCTGTATGTTCCTATATTTCCATTAGTCATCTTCCTCACATGACACCTGTCCATCAAGGATCATCTCCACAGGTCAGATAGTAGTATGATGGTAGCATGGTGCTCTAAGATTGGCCAATATGACAGAGTTTCAGTTTTGTATCTGGAGACCTCCCTAAAAACACCAGCACACTCATGTCCAAGATCTGAAGCTAGCTGAGCCTGGGAATGGATCATAGCATGAGAATCCTGTTGGTTGGGGCTGACTATCTCTCTTTCATAGAAAAAAAGAGGTGAATAAAGGTATAAAAACAAACCAAAAGAGCCATCTCTGTCACAGATTCTGTGTGCTTCTACACTTCCATCAACCATCTCTCTCAGAAGGCTGAGTGAACTGCCTTTTACAGTTCAGACACAGTAATACTATCTACATTCATGGGTCTTTACCTAATAAGCATGGTAATAATATACACGTATAATTTATCTACGACCAAGACCAGCTGATCTGTCTGCAAAAGTTCAGGCATTTCACTACATACATAGTTGAAATAAGGACTGGTTCCTATTTAACTTTTTTGATTTGGAAAACGTCTCACCAAGTTGAAGGTCTTAAAAATAGAACTTCTTCCACATAGCCTGTTAAGACCCTTGGCCTGATCGCTAAAATTGCACTAGAAATTAATTAATATTGCAAAATACAAGAGAGATCTTCATAGCTACTAGGTCTGCAGACAAAATTACTGAGCTAACCTTCCAACTACTATTACCTCTGGAATATTGGACCAGAGTGTTTTTCCTTTAAGAACAGGACTGAAGTAATT